AGTTCCTGAGGGGAGAGATCCCCGGTTCCTGATGGGAGAGATCCCTGGTTCCTGAAGGGAAATCCTCAGTTCCTGAGGGGAGAGAGCCCCGGTTCCTTAGGGGGGATCTCTGGGAGTGTCCCCCATAGCTGAATCCCAGGGTTTGTGGAGTTATCCTGTATTCAAGGTGGAATATCCGTGAGTGCAGATCCCCAGTTCCTGAAGGGAAATCCTCAGTTCCTGAAGGGAAATCCTCGATTCTTAAGGGGAGATCTCTGGGAGTGCCTCCATGGCTGAATCCTGGATTTTGTAGGGTTTTCCAGTGGAATATCCGTGAGGGGAGATAGATCTCCAGTTCCTGAAGGGGGGAGAGATCCCTGCTTCCTGAGACGAATGCCCGGTTCCTGAGGAGAGATCCCTGGGAGTGTCCTCCATAGCTGAATCCTGGATTTTGTGGAGTTTTCTGGTGGAATATCTGTGAAGGGAGATCCCCATTGCTGAAGGGAGAGAGATCTCTGGTTCCTGAGGGGAGAGAGATCTCTGGGAGTGCCTCCATAGTTGAATCCTGGTGTTTGTGGGGTTTTCCAGTGGAATATCCATGAGGGGAGATCCCCAATTCCTGAAGGGAAATCCTCAGTTCTTGAGGGGGGATCCCTGGGAGTGCCCTCCGTGGCTGAATCCTGGATTTTGTGGAGTTTTCCAATGGAATACCTGTGAGGAGAGATCCCCAGTTCCTAAAGGAAAATCCCCGATTCCTGAGGGGAGAGATCCCAGGCTCCTGAAGGGAGAGAGATCCTCGGCTCCTGAGGGGGGATCTCTGGGAGTGTCCTCCATAGTTGAATCCCAGGGTTTGTGGGGTTTTCCAGTGGAATATCCGTGAGGGGAGATCCCCAGGTCCTGAAGGGAAATCTTGAGTTCCTGAAGGGGGAGAGATCCCCGATTCCTGAGCGGGGAATCCCGAGAGTGTCCTCCATTGCTGAATCCTGGTGTTTGTGGAGTTTTCTGGTGGAATATCTGTGAGGGGAGATCCCCAGTTCCTAAGGGGAGAGAGATCCCCGGTTCCTGAGGGCGGATTCCTGGGAATGCCTCCATAGTTGAATCCCAGGGTTTGTGGAGTTTTCCGGTGGAATATCCGTGAGGGGGAGATCCCCAGTTCCTGAAGGGAAATCTTCAGTTTCTGAGGATTCTTGATCCCCGGTTCCTGAGGGGGAATCCCTGGGAGTGTCCCCCATAGCTGAATCCTGGTTTTTGTGCGGTTTTCCAGTGGAATATCTGTGAGGGGAGATCCCTGGGAGTGCCTCCATGGCTGAATCCCAGGGTTTGTGGGGTTTTCCAGTGGAATATCCGTGAGGGGAGAGCCCCAGTTCCTGAGGGAGGAGAGATCCCTGGGAGTGCCCTCCATGGCTGAATCCCATTTTTATTTTACATTTTTTTCTATTTAACCCCATTTTTATTTTACATTTTTTTCTTTTCAATTCAATAAAAATTTTATTTTAAATTTTTTTTTGTTTTTGCAGGGGAACATCCGCGTGTTCTGCCGCGTGCGGCCGCTGCTGCCCGAGGAGCGCGATCGCCAGCGGGGGCTGCCCCACCTGCACTTCCCCCCGCAGGACCCGCGCAGCCTCGTGCTCACCCGCCCCGACGATGTGAGTGT